ATGTCTCCCATTGCCATATGAGTGAACATACACCCTCTAAACATCAGACAACTGCGCCAGTATTGAATACGCCTTCTCACTTAAATATAGGGATGTCTGAAAATATAACCCCTGGGTCTCCTACAACTCCAATAACATCCAAATCATAAGTAAGATATATAGCACCAATATCTGTCTCTTACTGCATGATGGTGAACACCTAACGAACAAGACTGGCGGTGGCGCGACTACGCCCTCAACCTCCAATGGCCATGTGCCTAAAGTAGTTATCTACTCACAGTTACCTGCCATACACACTATGCGTACTAGGGATTTTAAGGTAAGTAATATAACTAAAATAAAATTTTAAACTCTCTCAATTATAGCAGGAAGCACAGTTAGGAATATATAAGATGGTGAATGACTTGAGGCATATCATTGACAAACTTTTGTAATTTTTCTATAGTGGAGATTATATAGGGATATCTGAAGAGGATTTATAGCATCTCCTTAGATATATCTACGCTATAACTTCACGCGAGAGTCTTTGCACTTGTAGATACGTATGATGTGAAAGACTTATATAACCTATTAGTAGAGGAATACTTCTCCAGGCTTAAGAAAGACTTCAAGTTGTTGAATTTCTAGAGTCTATCCTAGATTTCTATTTTTAACAGCCCCACAAGTTCAAACACTAAAGAAAGTTGTTCTGCAGTGTTTTGGCCGGCTAAGACGCTAAGACTCATGAAGGCATTTGGCTGGGACGACGGCCTGATGGTCGTCGCAATGGTATGTGTGCTTTTCTGGCCACCTTCTTGGGGCGGTAGGCGGCGCGACTGGCACTACGATAGCTATTGAATATCTGGTTCGCCATATGCGGTTTGGCTGGATCAGTCGCTGGAATCGGAAAGAGGTCTAGCGAGTTTAGCAGCATATCAGATGTCCGCGCAGCTCTTCGGGTACGTTTTGAACTGTATCCGCACGGAACTGACCGCTGACCCTAACATCATTAGGAGAAGCGGTGGTGGCTTAGCCAGAGCGCCTATGTCTGGGTCGTGTGCAGCGCGAGAATCTCTATCGCAATGATGCTCCTTCATTTAGCTATCCAGCACGCCCGACCAAGCACTTTTGACTCCTAGCATTCCTTATCAATATGATGAATACCATGTTGGATGCTTCTCATTACCTCTCTCTGCACCTCAGTCGAAACGGGCTAGCCTAAATACACCAAGACTGTAGACATAAATAGCAGATAAACCTTACCAATCTTTTTCTCACTGCACTCCCTCCACTTTTTAATCCGGTCTCTCAATAATTCCATTGATCGCGAACACAATTGGATATCGCACGAAGGGCGACCTTCAGCTTTTTTGGACCAGTATCAGTAGTTCGTCTTTACTGATCCCAACACGGTCTTTGTTAGAGGATCATCCAGCCAAAAAGGGCGTCACAGATCTAACCGATCTCCCTGCACAACAAACGCGGTTTTGGAGCGACGCTTCTCCGCTAGGGCATTGATCCAGGCTGCCAGACGGACGCCCGCTTTATAAATTTGTTCCTCGATGATCGGGGCGGCATCGTCATAGTACTCGCCCGCGAGATCTTCGCTTGTGATATACGGGATCCCCCTTTTAAAAACAACAGCACAATTCAACCGATTGGACTCCACCGCCCACGGCTTGATGCATGTCTGGGGGTTGGTCACATCCGTGCACTCAGCGGTAGTCGGCCTGTGTTTGTTCTGTTGCACGAGATGCTTGGCCCACTTCTGGCATGCCGGTTTTTCTTCGTTATGCTTATCTCTATGTTTGATGCCGTTAATCTTGTGTGGCATGTCTGTATCCCAGATACTGTGGAGATTATCTTTGTGACCATCAAAACAGACCTTGACGTCGTTTCCTCCTCGATCGTAATTTTCCACATGCAAGGGCATATGGAGGTCACCAAAGAAGTGGAACAAGAACATAACAGCTTCTGTTTGGTTGGCGCTATCGTCATTTACTTGAACGGTCTATGGCTAATTCAGCTCCGATAGGTTCATCACGGGCAAAAGGGGAGCCTAACCATATCTTCCATAGCTGAGATGATGCAGCCTTTAGTTTGGCAGTCCGACGGAAGAGATGATACCTTGCAGTGATCATGTAAAGGGTCATCTTTCACATCTATACAGGCAATCAACATTTCTTGTTAATCTGTTAAGGGGGAAGTTTTGACATACCAACATAATGCCAAGGTGCAGTTTTAGGACGCCGATGTTTGATGTGATCGGGCCATACGGCCGCGTCTGAGACGTCGAAACGATCCTTCTTTGGCAGGAGGTCATTAACCAGCCCTGCACCCTCCTTGGTGAGATAGTGCTCGGCTATGTATGCAACCGTACGATGACCGACATCTCCCCATCCAAGTGAAGGCCGGCAAAGAATGCACCAGATGAATAAAATTGCAAAGCTATAAAGCATTGTCTTGTGAAGATCGAATCTGTTTTGCTGGACGTAATGGTATAGTCGTTTGGGTTGAAATATTATTCGATGGCTAGGGTTGACGGGTTAATCGAGTTCTTTATATTGGGGATCATCTGATACAATTACTGTCCTTTCATGTGTTGCGAAGGATCCAAGTCGGAACACCTAGAGAATGAACAAGCTCAGGCATGTGAGGTCATGATGATTCTCTGCGCGATCTAGATTTCGAAGCTCTCGTCCAAGGATTATCTGGACTGGCAGTGTACCCGAATGCAGGAAAAATTGACACATACTGAACAACCAAACTGGCACTTTTCGGAGCTTAAGTTTGTAAAATGTTAATTCTCGGGGGCCTGGGTGGGGTGTGAACTTGTGCGTTTAGAGCATAAAATGGCGGAAATCCAGCCAACTTCAAATCCGATTTACGAAGGCTTCCTCCTCGTGGAAAAGGTTGCATCCCAAGTCGCTGAAAACGGCCCACCTGAGCCGCCTATTGAGTCTAGAACGTGAATTACATAGAGAAGTTGTGTGTTGAAAAAAATGTGGCGACATGCCATGAGCCTAGTCTTTATGACAACTATAATTGACTGAAGCTAGAGCCTGTATTGACTATTGGCCAATGGTTTGGCGCTTTCAATCACAGAAAGCTTTTTAGACTGTGGAACTGCGTTCGGTAAGTCAGAGTACGACATTTCATACTGCTGACGACTATAGACGAATGGAAAAGGGAGGAATAGGTAACTCGATGGGGCTTGAGTTCCCATGATATAATTGATACCTCGCCGACAGATGCTCAATAGTCAATTAGCTACAGCTTTGCTTAACAGGAAGTAACATGGCTGATTGCCTTTTAAGCTCATTGTCTTGATCCATATAAGCTTATTTTACCCACCTCCGATTGGTCACTTATCCAGCAGTTGCAGACCATTTAGGTCCTCCATCTCCTCTACCCAGCAAGCTCTCTTATCGTTTAAGGACCAAGGGACTGTAGACCTCCAAAGACCACAATTAGCTGATCAGGTAAGTGCATAATATACGGCTATAGCCATCCACGTGTGCATTAATGATTTTGGGCGCCTAAGCCGTTACTGCCCAAGGACGACAGCTTGAACGCATATTTCACTCAAGGCAAAATTGCGGAGGCTCCAGGCTGGACTGTATCTAGGACATAAATTATCTCTGATCAACTCAGCCGTCATAAGACACTGACTTCACAGTGATCTAATACTAGTGAAGAGGAATACCCTCTTCATGTCAGGCAACACAGCCAGCATCATATGATCCAGGTAGTTAGAGTTTAGTTCTCATGACCGAACGCATCCAAGACTTTCAACTTTCTATTTAGATTTTAACTTTAAATAAATGTCAGAATCTAATTGTAAAGTCCAGTTTATTTCTCTAGAATACAAGTACTGTTGGGGATAGACAATGCTGTTATATTTGGCAGGATCAATATCCAGTATATTTGCAAACATGGCACAGACATTGCTTCTTGAGGAAATGAGTGGTAGAAGTTTACACATAGCTAAGTCATCTGGGTCTTGAATGGTGCTGCATGCGGATGTGTTTGTTAATGTTGTAACTATGGTCCGCGTGTTTCCATTCAGTGGTGACCTCAACCTATTCAAGACTAAGTGCATAATTAAAGATTTGTGATGACTTAGCTTTCATCTACGCCCTTTCAAACCTAGCTACGATTTTAGCTAGAGATAACCATTAGTTAAAAGTATGCGTCCACGTTGTCCTCAAGGGGTTTGAGAAAATCTATCCATGTGAATTCATTCTAAGAATTTTATTTCGTGTACTAGGAATATAAAATGCTTTTCTGATGTAGCTCCTACCTTCCTTGGGTCGTGCTGAATCTCCTCCACTTGCACATAATTTAGTCTCTCAAACCTTCTCTAACATGACTATAGCCAGCTAGAAGAATGACTCGATGACCTGACTCTCTCCTCCTTGGACATGTCCTTGACGGACTTCTTCTTGGACTTCTCTTCCTTCTTGGTGGGTATTTTGCAAGGCGAAGGACGGGTGGATGACTCGGTAAATAAACTGCCAGGCAGCAGTACCACTTTCTCCACAGTCTTTTGCGGGATTAATCAACAAAAGCACCCCTTTGGTGAAGGAAAAACCTCGCAGTAGAAGCCGTTGGTGGCGGTGGTAATTGTGATTGGAGCGATAGTAATAGTGGTCAGGATGGAGATTACATTTATGAGCTGCTATATTCAAGAATGATATCCTTACACAATGAAGTCATTGCTACATAAGATATATCTCCTATTTGCCTTATTGTTTTCAGGCTAGGTAATACCGTTGTACTATTCCTAACTATCTTCAAATAGAATAGTAACAGGACTAGAGTTATGCAATCGAATCTTCTTCTTTACAATGTTAGATCATTCTCACTACTACCCCGTAGATCGTTCCAAGTCAAGAAATCGCAACGGGACGGGATCTGTATTTTAGCATTTCCTTCAGAAACGTTGTCTCTAATATTTTAAACGAATAGTAAACTGAACATTCAATAATAGCCATACAAAAGTCTTTAGGAACTCCGTTCTAGTTTTGCAATTTTTGTAGCGACATTACAGTGTCAGTAATGCTTGTGGATAGGGGCCGATACGTCAAGCCAAGCTCCTTTGTGGCTTGGGAGTTGTCAAAACCGTAAAGTCCTTCGCTGGGATACCCGCCACTGTCCGTGTTTTGTTCTGGGAGTTGCGGTCCGTACTCAGGGAAGGATCCACGGATCACTTCACAGATCTCCTTGTTTGAGAAGTAACCAGCAGTCAATAAGAATCTCTTGTTCATAACTTCTGAAGCTTCCATCGCCCTTATATGGGCTAAGGCGGCGTCACGAACATCTATCCAGAGAAAGAACGATGTCCCTGTGTCTGGAATTTCAGCTTTATATTCACCTGCCATAAAATTTCGGATCCGCTGGTTTGACGTGTTGAGTTCGTCGAGATTGCGCAGTGGGTGTACAACTGGGCCAAACATCAACGTTGGACATAGCGTAACCAGAGAGAAACGTGGGTTCTCTCTCTCAACAAACTCCCAACATGCTCGCTCGGCGAAAGTCTTGCTTGCTAGATTGAAGTTTTAGTTTCAGATATAGGGACATCCCTCGCGTGACGAAGTGAATGCTAACCTCTATATCCGTTGAGGGCATTTACATGAGCGTCCGATGGAGTAATTGGGTTCCAGTCTTCTTCGGAATAAACATGATCGACCCAGCTGTTCCCCTTATAGCTGTTGATGATCGATGCGAAAGAAGATGTTACAATCTGTAATTAGTTAGAAAAAAGTACGGGAACTGAAGTCAAGTGTTTTTCAATTAATCATGCTGCGGGGAAGCGTACCACTTTCTTGACTGATGGTGCATTCTTCTGAACTGCCTCCAGCAACGCAACAGTCCCAATGATGGCAGGGTCCAAGAGTTCTCGCTGAATATCAGTTATCGAGTAACGAAAGGGAGACGCCGTGTGCATGACCACATCTAAAGGCGCGTCGGATTTGAAGCATTCATCAAAAGCACCGGCGCTCGTAAAGTCAGGAACGATGATAACCCTTAGCTGTGTGGTGGATGCATATGGATGGCGTTCACGGATCTGCTCTGCCTTCTCTTGACTGCGGACAGTGGTCACAACTGAATATCTACGAACACGTAAGATCAACGTGAGTAACAATGTTGTTTTTGGGGCAAAAGAAATTGCATTACCCTTGTTCCAAGAGGAGATCCAAAATATGGCTTGCAAGAAATCCATTGCCGCCTGTGTATTGGTATCAGTTAAAGCTCGGCCCTGTAGAATTCACTCGAAGTGAAACACGAACCAGTGAGGAGGACTCGAGCCATATCTTCCTTCTCTTTCCTGTCTTTTCCCGTTGCTTCTAGGGTACTTACACTTTCAGAGAAATTGAGATCAATTCACCACATTAGAATGATAGAGAGACATGGACGAGAAAGAAGGGGCCAGCTGTTTATATCTAATTGTCTCCCCAAATGCGGCTGGATGGTCCGAACACGAGCATTGCTCTGGATGTGGCCAATTAGATTTCCCCGAAGCCAGGTTGGACTATATGACGAACCGAGGCCCTTATAAATTACTAGATATGGACCCTAGAGACAGGTTCATTCAACACCATCTGTTTCTCCTTATGTTTTGTTATAGTGCCATAATCTAATATCACAATTATTGAACATGAGGTTGTGCACATTGTGTAGCAGCCATTAGGGCTCTGAAAGAGTAAGGAAATGCGATTATGAATATAAAAATGACATGAATATGAATAACCCCAATATTTATCACATTCATGTAAATAACTGACTAGTCAGTTAAGTTCTGCTTTCGAATAATTATAAGTTAATGCCTAAATTATGACTAAGGATGATACGCTGGTAACTATGCTCTTGCTATTACATTGTTACCTACAATTGATAAGGTAGTTGCCTCTCGTATCCTCTCATTGCAATTTACACTTTTTACGTCTTAGGGCTTCGTAAGAGTACAAGTCAAATAGGTGGAGACTATCCTTCTCAACAGCCATGGATGGGTATAATCGGTTCGACACCTTGCTGAAAGCGATCTCAGTGCCGAGCATGTCTCAAACAAAATCAACCCAGTAAGCATAAAGAGAGCAAACAAGAATGAGTCATCCTTTCACTCAAGCAGCACATCCTGCATTAGCTGACATGTTGCTTAGCATCTACTCGTCTCTCTTCCCCTAATACAACCCACAGTTCTTCTGTTTATATCTCCCCAGTCCACTCTATTTAGTAATTATATTCACTAATATGTTATACACAAATGCCAATAAATAGCAAGATCAAGGTGATAAAGCAAAATCAATTAAAAGAAAAAAAATATTGGTATCTTGGCATTGCTGCTCACGAGGACAATCAAGAGAGCTGAATCAAGACTATGCAAGAGAAAGAGTATTGTGGCGGCTTAACAATTGGATAAGGGCTAGACATCTTAAGATCTGTGTCTTCGGAGTTTAGAACCTTCATTTTCGTCCCTTTTTCTGCATTCGCTGGGGCCCAATTAGAGGAACAGAAATATGCAAATTGTCGGTAGCGTCAAATGCGGAGTCTAATACAACAACTTCCCTAGATACACCGCTAGGACTTGGGATCCAGAAATGTTGAATACGAGAGCAGCCTCAACGACAATGTGAGAATTATCACGCACACTGGGAATATTGCAGGCCATCTGTAAGAGCATTAGTCCTGTACACATGTTTGTGATACTCAAAGATTTTTGGAGGTATGAATTCCAGATTGCAGGATCGTCAGTTATTCCGTGTTATCGAGCTTGTTAACCTCAGAGTTTGATAAATCCCTTCGCCCAGTGAGCTCCATCATTGTAGGGATGCGATCATTCTATCCACCAACTCTCGATATTCCCGCTGCCTGCGGCATTGCTCGATGAAGACTTGGTATTTTGCGAGGAGAAGTGTCTTCTCATGGCGGTTAGTTGTCGGGTAGACAGCCTTTCCAGGTTTACTCATGCGATCCATAATTGTCCAGAGATCCGTCGTCTTCCCTTGCTTATCTGAGCTTGCGGCTTTGGCACCAAGCATCGCGGCACCGTGACAAACCGCTGCGCTGACATAGCAAGGAACCACAACCGGCATGTCACATGCGGATGCAATGAGGTGCACAAGGATGTTATTCCGGCATTGGGATCCGGACATGAAGATGGAGAAGATCTTATGGCCAGCCTGGTTCATGACTTGGACGATCTGGCGTGTCTGTAAGGCGATGAACTCCAATGCGCTGTAGTATAAGATAGCTAAGCTGTCCACAGATACATCGCTGGTAAGACCAACAATAGAGCCCACCATACTTGGATCAGCTATTGGAGAACGGTTGCCGAAGAGGTCGCCGTAAAAAAAGAAATGGCGTGCCAGGTATGCAATGTGTGGAGCATGCTGTTCCTCTGCCATTTCCTTCAAACGCTCGTTCAAGAAGGTGAAGATATCAGTCTGACGGGCCAAAGCAAGCTTTTTCGCTTGCCCAGCAGCTGGATGAGTTTCCAGGACGTGATGGATGAGTTGACCTGTTGCAGATTGTCCTCCTTCTGCCATCCAGCAGCTGGGAATAATAGTATCCCGGTAAGGACCCCAAACGCCAGGCACGAATATAGGACTGGGCGACATGACGAGGTGGCACGTTGATGTACCAGCAACAGCAGCAAGGCGAGTAAAATATCCTTGTTCCCCCTCGGCCCGCAATCCGATGTTCATTGAAGGCTCGGCGAATTCTACTTTAGCCGAAACTGTTCCTATCCATCCGGCATAGGCGTCGATCACTCCAACGCCTACGGCAATACCCGACGGTAGTCCCAACTCCTGCGCAGCCTTCTCGCACAACCACCCGGCCAATTCTCCAGCGTGGAGATGTCGACCGTTCTATCTCGACACTGAAGGTCAGTTTCATTTGCCGCCCCACAACGAGAAATGCGCCACGAGGACATCTCACCTCTCCGTTGATCCCACCAAGGGAGTGGAAATGCGTCTTGCTCAAGGTTTCAAGCCCAATCTGGTCCAAGAAGTCCTTAGGCCAGCCAGACACACTATCATCTCTCTCCTTTGGCAAGTATCCCTGCTTGCAGATGAGGCTACACAGGCTCCTAGTTTCGCTACCGGTAGCCAGGTGCGTAAGAGCATCTACCAGGTCATAGAACTTGCATCTTGAGAAGCTTTCCGCAGACATGTTGTTCCGTAGCCAGAGAATCTTTGGTATCTCCATCTCCACTGACATCGCCCCTCCTACGTATTGGAGCACTTTGTGACCTGTTGCGTTGATTCGTTCGGTTTCCTCCACTGCTCGATGATCCAGCCACAGGATCACATTCCGGTCGGTATCGAACGCGGGAGAAGTGACCGACACGGGACTGTCATCTTCGGTAGAAAGGACAGCAAGGGAGCAGGTTGCGTCGAATCCGATGCCCCGGATCATCGTCGGCGGGATGTTATTTTCCCTGACGGCGCGACGTACAGCGGAGCACGTAGCGCGCCAGATGTCCGAGGTCGACTGCTCCTGCGGTTCCGACCAAGGATTAGCACTACTCACAGTCTGGCATATAATGGATAGACGACAGCTTACATAGTGACCTTTTCCTGACTGCCATAGCTTGATATCCTCAGACGCTAAACCGACAATGTTGCCTGCGTCGTCGATAATGCAGGCGCGAGCACCCCCAGTACCAACATCAATGCCGATATAGTGGTTCTGTGAAGGCTGCATTGTGATTCGCAAACCGCTCTACTGAAATTGCCTTTTCATAGGGGAGTATGACTGAAAAATTCCCAAGGAGAACCGATGGCAGAAGTACTCAGGACAGGGAGGAACGGCCAGGCCTACGGACGCCTTCGCGACGTGACTCGAAATAAATTCACCCACATTCGTTCCCCTTTTTATTTGATCAATCTGTTTATTTTCACTATTTACACACTTGCCCCATTTTTCCTTTTTGAATACATGTAAGCTGGAGTGGAAGCACGACGAGGAAATGCCGCATTTGTGGGGTTATCAGCAGGCAGATTATGCTTGGATGATTGAGTTCCGGCGGTTTCGCCATTTTCCCCGAACGAAAGCTCCACATAATTCTGGCCAGTCTTCCCCCAGCTGACTTCGAGGAGGGAATCATGCTGTTCCACCGTCTGCTGTGACTTGAACATGAACAGTGTTGAGGCACATCGGAGCCGGCCAAAACGGCATTAATCGCCGACGCAAAAATCATGCAGCGTCTTTTCCACGGGGAGGTTTGCTAATACCTTTCCTCCAAATCTGCGTAAGCGTAGAAGGACACTTCCTTGCTGTGCAAGTCTAAAACGAACTGCCCACTGAGAGTGGTATATATGAGATGTGCTTGCCGCTTTACTGACTTAGAAATTCCAAATTGCTCACTCATACCCCGTAACCCCGGCGTGCACAGGTTTGGTCTTCGAGATGGGAGAAATGCCAGTAAGTTATCTGGATCCTTAAAGATGTTTGTTGTAACTGACACAACATAGTCATCTAACCCCCCCTTATCACAGAATACTTCGTTAGTACTTCGAGACGTCGGCCAGTTGGTGTTTGAAGATCGCCCTGTGCCACGGTTGTGCGATCCTCATGATGTCCTCGTGAACGTAAAGTTTACCGGCATCTGTGGCAGTGATGTGAGATGATCTCGACGCGGATTGGAAAAGCTTAAGCGTTAACAGAGTGTCTGTCTATGTACCAGGTTCACTATTGGCAGCGCGGCCGGATCGGCCAATTTATCCTGCAACGTCCTATGGTCGTCGGGCATGAGTCCTCAGGCATCGTAGTACAAGTGGGACCCGAAGTGACCACACTCCAAGTGGGCGATCGCGTCGCGCTTGAACCGGGTGTGCCTTGTCGGCGGTGTATGTCGTGTAAGACGGGACAATATAACCTATGCAGCGAGATGGCCTTTGCGGCAACCCCCCCGTACGATGGCACCTTGGCCAAGTACTACTCCCTCCCGGAAGACTTTTGCTATAAGCTCCCCTCCAATGTGACGATGGAGGAAGGTGCCCTTGTTGAGCCGCTCAGTGTTGCTGTGCATCTGGTTCGGCAAGGAATGGTGCAACCAGGGCACTCGGTCGTCGTCTTTGGAGCCGGACCTGTCGGCCTCTTATGTTCTGCCGTGGCCCGGGCGTTCGGAGCGACCCATATCACGGTGGTAGACGTGCAGGCCCAGAGACTGGAGTTTGCTCGGAATTACAGCGCGACTTCGGTGTTCCTCTTGGATAAATGCGCGTCCGCGGCAGAGGATGCGTCACGGCTGAGGCAGGTTAATGAGTTCGGAGCTGGGGCGGATGTTGTGATCGAGGCGTCGGGTGCAGAGGCTGCGGTCCACACTGGTATTCATGTTCTAAAGCCGGGTGGCACCTTTGTCCAAGGAGGCATGGGTAGAGAGGAGATCAACTTTCCGATCACTGCAGCCTGCACCAAGGAACTGAATATTCGAGGCAGTTTCCGATACGCAGCAGGTGATTATAAACTGGCAATTGAGCTTATATCAACTGGCAAGGTGAAGGTCAAGGACTTGATTACCAAGATCGTACCATTCGAAGACGCTGAAGGGGCATTTGAGGAGGTCAAGGCAGGAAATGGTATTAAAACACTCATTGCTGGGGTTCGAAGCTAGAGGTCCGGCATCTGAAATCCTGTACCATTATCGCATATAAAGCGTCTTCATAGGTTACAATAGCGGCACTACAGAAGTGAAAAATAATCGTGATGATTGCATTCATCATTTGGCCCTTTTGCACAGATAATGTCTAATGCCCTGACTTAGAAAACGCTGCGTGCGCTGCCATTGGATCATTCGTCCATGCATATGACGACTCAAAGTTTACAAAGACAGATCAGGGCGATGGAGCCGGCTATTTATCCTTTTGCTCTTTTTTTTGAGAACAACGTAGGGTAGAGGACAGCCCAGACGGAATAGCATTAGGATCATCCGGACAACAGCTCATTGCCGTCAACACCTGATAGAAAGCTATGCACCTCTCACTTCTCTAACAACCTGCTCCAGAATCTCTTGATGTCTCAACAGGTCCGGTGCCTCCCCCGCCCAGAAGTCAAATTGTGCCAGAACTTTCCCAATCTTCCCCCCAATTGGCACCAGTGAGCCCGAGACGTGAGTGCCGCCGGGGTCGGGCCCCCAGAGGGTCTCGGCACCACCGGGGATCCACGCGGCATTCCCACTCTTGACAACGGCCAGGAGAATGAGCGATGCGCACATAATGCTTCGGAGGTCATACCATAGACCATGATGGCGATGACCGACCGAACGCACGTCCAAGGTCCTAAGGTTACATTGGATTCCTGATGCAATCAGGGCCCGAAGGACAGTCAACTCCTCATTATCCAGCGACGCCTCACAGACGTTGAACTGGTTAGAAGACGGGAAATTGAACTCGTGGGAGGTGGCCGTCGGACGCCCGGTGGTGAAAGCTGGATTCAAGAGACTATTGATGTGGCCATCGCGAGTAGATTGCTCTGGAACAGCGGACCGATAGGTTGCGTAGCCATCGTGCATTGATGTACGAGGATAGACCCCGATGTGAATAAGGTAGTAAAGGAAGGGTTGATAGAGCCACGTTTGCATTTCAACAAGCCTGTTATCGACCGCCCAGCTGAGTTCGCGAGAGACATGGTTCCCTGCACATCCATCTCGGGAACTTAGATGCGGTGCGCGAATAAGAGATGTTGTTTCATAGCGTTGCATCGCAGGAGGAAGATGTGCTGACCAGGATAGGACCTGGGCTTCAAACTCCTGACCTATGCGAAGAAGTGGTTTGATATCCAGCCACGAAGCAGGATCTTGGCGGAAAAAAGTATTGATGATGCGGTTGCCGATGCGTCGCAACGCGATCTCTGTAAGGTAGTAATACCAGCTTTCTTCCTCGTTGCATAGGCGCCTGGCATGCTGTCGTAGTTCCCATTCTTCTTCGCCCATACTTGGGTCGACATCGAAGGGATCCAGCGCCATATCACCACTACCAATGGAACTTCTGTTAGGAGACTGGGAAGCGGCACTCCTAGGTCCGTCCGTTGCATTAGGCGACGGAGGCGAAGGGAAGAGGCTGGGGTATTCGCCATGGCTGAGTTCTGACTGTGGAAGAGGGAGCTCGACACGGAACTCGCATTCGGACTTGAAACACGACCAATACAGGCTATGCTCCAGCCGCCTGATCTTACGATCTGCGGCACTTAACTGTTGTGACGGAACCCCCAGAGCCCCTACGAGGCTCTCTTCTACACCGTACGTCGCCTTGAGATGCAGATTGAAGAGAACAGACGCGTGGAAGAAATACTGCCACGACAGAACAGGCCGCAGTGCGTACATGAGGTACACTAAACTCGGAATGTTAAGATATAAGCATTGGGGATTCTTCTAGGGTGTGACCTACCACCGGCAAAAAAATAGCATTGAGCTCCTAGCAGGGTGTGCTTAAGTGAGCCAAGACGACGACAGGCGAGAGTGAAATATGCATCAGCTTGCTGCAGATTCTGTGCAAAAACGTGAGTAGAGCGACTTCCTGGGGAAGAGTTGACGGATGCGCAGGGCAGAGCTGACTGCCGAGCGGCCGGGGGACAGTCGAACGGCTTCGCGAGAGCACCAAGCGCACATGCCAGAAGTACGAGACATGAGAGGCCGTCCCAGCCAATGCCATGCGCCGCACACTTGCGGCCATGCTGCACGAGGGATTCTACATCGAGGATAGGATTCTTGGTATGGACATTTTGCAGAAAGTTGTCGATCAGGAAAGGGATTCGCTCATCATCCGGCGGTTGTAGTCCACTGGTCGGCGCGGCTTCATCGGCCGAGACCATCTTGGAGTTTCTCTGAGTTGACGATGATGAGTTGGCCTTTTTGGATTGGAAAAGCACTCCGATCAAGGTGTCTTGTGAATATTTCCCCCCAAAAATCTCCCAAGTCAAGACGGTATCAGCGCTCATCTTGCACGGCGGGATTTGAAGGAAATCTCCTGAGCTCTCCAGGCAAGGCAAAGTCGTCGCCGTATTGCTTTCCTTCTGAACACTGCGTGGCATCGGTGGACCGAGCTGTCCTGCTCGTGCTTGGCCTTCATCACTGTCTTTACAGCCCCATCAGTCAGTTGATCACGATTATCCCCTCGTCCGTTGTCATTTTCCTCAATACCGGGCATTCTGAATGGGTGTTCTTTCCTCCGAACTTGTTAAAAAGAATAAAAAAAAAAAGATATTGTTCTTACCTCCTCCATGCACTGTATCTTTGAGGTCACTGATTTCTTCCCGTAGCTGATCGAGCTTTTCCAGTAAGGTGCGAGTGGCTAATTCGAGTCTGCCATGCGCCACGTTAGTATGACCGATCTCCAAACGGGGAGTCCACTCCCTTACGTGAGGTTCTCAGCGCCTTTCTCGGGATACTCGCATGTCGAGCCGCTGGATTTGCAGACGGAACAGCAAGGTTTCTGCTTGTCACATTTGACCTTGCGAAGCCGACAAGACTGACAGGCCGCCTGGCGGCGCAGGGTGGTCTGCGATTGTTAGCTTCTCTGCGAATCCATGCAATTGGCTGGTTTCGAGGAGGCACACGAAGACGACGCCAACCGCTACATCATGGAAGATATCCATGTATTCCGGCCGAGATTCATCTCCACAAAAGCGCTCTCCTCGGAAAAGAATTTTGGGGTTTGTGGGGAAAGGGTAAAGGGACAGACAATGACAACCTACCCTTTCGTCTCCAATGACGCGCCGTCTTTTCCTCGCCGGGGGTTCCCCCAGCCCGTCCGTGCTCGGGTTACGAGTTGAATCCGGGGACGAATTGCTGGCCATCGACAGTGAGGGAAGGGAAAATAGACCTGGTGGGTAAAGGTGCATGTGCGGCGAAGACCCCGAGGATTTATTTATGGGATGGCTTGTGTCGGGGAGCTCGGGCAATTTCCCCGAATTTCACAGCAACTCCATATTGCCACCGCAAGGAAACGCACTATACGAGTTCATTCCAAGGAACCAAACTGTGACCTCCACAATATCAGACCCCTAAAAATTCATGCGGGCACGTGTTCATCTACCCAATCAGGCTCGCCTTGAGCTCCCAAATGGCTGGCCAGCTAAACCTTAAAGAACTCCGCAGGTGCTGGATGACTTGTATACAGGCACAGACAGTCTAGGAGAGGTGCGCCGCCATTCAAAACGCGACTCTTCCCCAGCTTTTGTCAACCCTAAGATTCTAGTTTTTCTGGGGCAAGTTGCAATCCATCTCTGTCAAGACATCTGCTGTCTTCTACCTCATATCGTTCTCTCGTTTCTTCTTACAAAAAACTCATCATAATCTTGCTATTCACCACAATGGTTTGGACTGGAGCGCTGTCCAAGCATAATGTGGCCCATAAACTATACAAGCAATCTCTTCTCAATGCTGTCTGTATAGTGGCCGGAATTTCCATTTTCTTTTTCGGTTATGATCAAGGCCTGATGGGTGGTGTGAACACAAATCGGAACTATGCTGAATTGATGGGTTTTGGCTACTTTGATGAACAACAAGGCAGTGTTGTGGTGACCAAACCGCTGCTTCAAGGGAGCATTGTAAGACTATCTTTCCCGTTCTCCCTACTAGGATGCCAAAAAAGAAAGGGGAAAAGGAGAACACAGCTGAAGATTGATATTTGACCATCTAGGTTGCTGTTTACTACCTTCCTGGAACCCTCTTTGGCTGTCTCCTTGGCGGTTGGTTCGGTGATCGTTATGGCCGGATTGCCACAATCGGCCTGGGCGCCGTCTGGTCGATTATCGGCGCCTGTTTGCAGTGCTCGGCACAGAATGCAGAGTGGATGTATTGCGGTCCGTTGCCCCTTGACTTAAACGTCGCGGAGGAGACTGACAATCGGCTACAGCCCGCGTGTTTAACGGTATCGGGACGGGCTTATTGAACGCCGTCACTCCCGTATGGGCCACCGAAACCGCCGGCCATACATCTCGAGGCCAGTTTATCGCGCTGGAGTTCACCCTCAACATCTTCGGAGTCGTTGTTGCTTATTGGATTGAATTGTGAGTGATGCACATGACATGCTATCTGTCCGCGACAAGTCTTAATAACGTCCATAGTGGGACTTCCAAATACTATGACCCAACATCATCCTTCATTTGGAGATTCCCCATCGCCTTTCAGATCGTGCCGCTAATCATCCTCGCTGTCATAATCTGGTTCATGCCCGAGTCACCTCGCTGGCTTGTTAAAGTGGGCCGTGAGGAAGAAGCACACTTTATCCTAGAACGTTTGCGTGGCACAGATGGCGACCTAGCCGCAGCCGAGTGTCATGATATCGTTCGCATCAGCAATATGGAAAAGGAAACCGCCAAGCAGCAGAGTTATTTCCACATGTTTTTTGGCATCGGGTCGGGCAAGCTTCACACAGGTCGCCGTGTACAGCTGGTAATCTGGCTGCAAATCTTGCAAGAGTGGATTGGCATCGCCGGCATCACCATATACGGCCCTAAGATATTTGAAATTGCTGGCATTTCGGCTGGAGAACGCCTTTGGGTGACCGGCTTGAACAATATCACATATATGGTACGCCTGTCCGTGTCCACGCCGTGTTTGTTGACGTGAATTTATCCGGCTGACTACTCTCGTTGCAGCTCGCCACCTTGATCTGTGTTTTCACCCTGGACCGGATTGGTCGGCGCTGGACCCTCTACTGGGGTGCGGTTGGGCAGGGTATCTGCATGTTCCTCGCCGGAGGTCTTGCCCGTGCGACCATGAAGGCCGACCCAAGTTCCCGTGCGGGTGTCGGTGGTGCGGCCACCTTCTTTGTGTTTCTCTACACCATGATCTTTGGTGCCACTTGGTTGACTGTGCCTTGGTTGTACCCTGCCGAGATCTTCCCCCTGCAGGTCCGTGCCCGCGGTAATGCCTGGGGGGTCGTGGGATGGTCGATCGGTAATGGATGGACGGTAAGGATTCTTCCGAGTCCGCAGTTGTTGATTACCGGTGCACCGTACTAAAGCCTCCACGAACAGGTACTTCTCCTTCCGACCATTTTTGAACGTCTCAACGAGAAGACTCTGTACATCTTCGGCGGAGTAAACTTCCTCAGTATCCTCATCGTGTGGGCGCTGTATCCTGAATCGAATCAAAGGACGCTGGAAGAGATGGATCTTGTTTTTGCTAGTGATAGCATCTGGAACTGGGAGGCAGAGAAGAACTTTGCCAAACTCAAAGCGGAAAACCCCGACCTAATTCAGACAGGGAAACGAACAAACAGCGTGATGGACGCGGAGAAGGGCGTCTTATCTTCTGGACGAGAGAGCGGTGCTTCCCTGACCCAGTCCAAGCCAGATTCGTGCCAGGTGACTCAGATCGAGGGGATGTAGAGGGTACGGCTCGCAATGTTCTTAATAGTCGCCCCAGCGTCTCGGTGATTTGCGAGGTTTGTTGGAGGGCTGGGTTTAGGTCGACGCCTCCAAGCTGGGGGTCCTGGACCCTGCCTCAGATAAAGTTCAGCCTATCCAACTGGGTTAGCTTCAAACCGTAGCTTAGAATTCTATTTTCTGGATTCAAATACATCTTTTGGAAATGCAAGGCCGTGTTCTCCACTTAATCCTGGTTCCTGCTGGCTCCTAGTTAGAATCCTTTGCTAGCATCGCCAACACTAAGGGTATAATAATGTGGTGGATAGGATTCACCCATACACACCTTTTCCATGATTCCTAGCCATTCCAAACATATCCTATGTAGCATTAAACTTACTAAGTTAAGGTTTCAGCCAAACCCTAATTTCTCTGGGGTTGGATAGGCGATTCGAATTGTTCTTGATAGAGGGATGAATAATGACGCTGATCTTTGCCAGGTCCCAGCAAGCTTTCTTGCAACCACCTGGGCGGCTTTCCAGTGTCTACTATTCCATTTTATTACGGCACTGACTGGAACGTCGGTAAGTTTTCTAGACGCCTCGCTGCGGCAGTCAGTGCCAAAGACATTGAAGTGGACTCCAAATGCGGAATGGGATAACCAGTGAATACTATGAGTGCATGCAATCAGTTACCATCAAAATCCATATAAGGTACTAGGTCAGTACTATACTGATATCACCCTTCCAGGTTATACTGGCGATGAGCGACCAACAGCTGGTGACTAGACTTAATATCCTGGTCAGCGCGTATGCCCAACTTCAATGCGGTCTGTCAAAGTAACGCTTATCGGCCTACAGGGCCAGGAGATGCGGTGGGAAGAACGACCTATTGCAAGACAAATAATGTTGTAAGAGCTAGATTACATTATTCCGACAAGTCGCTACATCAATAACTCTCATCTGGGATGTTGCCCGTCCAGCTCAAATAGTTCTATCTGATTTTGTGCAGGGTTGGCTGGTAACTCTGCCTTTTCATAAGTGAGGGGTTTATCTCTTGTGCCACTCAATTCAGGCAGTCCATTGTAATCGGGATTCCCAGGCTGGCCGTGCGTCGCATTGGGCTGTTGGTGTCTTCGTCGCCGGGACCATAGTAGGCCCAGCGCAAGGGCCACTGCTAAAACCACCCCGGCAGCGACACCCACGCCGATGCCGGCTTTCGCGCCCGTGCTGAGGCTGGATGAGCTTCCTGTGGAGCTCTGTGTCTGGGTTGGCGTAGCTTGTGTGGTGGTAGTCATGGCCACAGTGGCTTGCGGGGTGGTGAAATCCGTTGACTGCCATCGGACCTCCACACCATAAGCATTGAACGAGCCTGGGCTGCTCATAGCACCAGTCATACTCGTCTCCTTCCCATCCGTGTCGAACGACATATAGGCATATCGCGTCATAGTGCCCGCCGCAGGTCCCCAGGCACACACCTCAGTCGCCCACCAGAACCCTGAATCCGTTGCGTCGCTCGGTCGAATGGAGTACGTGTTTTTTGAATCAAGGTCCCTAGAAAACCAAGTTGAAAGTTTACTGTGAGCCTGGCTCGACCGCTGAACAGGGTAGATGCTAGTTAACTTACACTGGACAGCATGTTGCGACAGTCTCTGTCATAGTTCGTGCCACGATTTTTGAGGTTGTCGCAATGACATAGCCACTGGGGCATATTCCAGGAGAAAAATAGTTAGTCGCTGCCCAGCCAGACGGGAGACATTTTGTGGTGTTGAGGGGGCCCAGGTTCATCCACCAGTTGTGACTAGGGGGACTGCTGGCGGCCCATAGATCTCTAAGGCACGCACTGGGTGGTGTAAATGTGGTTGTCAGGGGAAGGGGGGCACTTTGAACGGCCGACATGATAGGCTAGATGTAAAACACTATTGGAGCAGCGATGATGTGGAGGATGATGTAATATCCATCCTACTGCGTGAGCTGAAAATAAAGGACAACACCAATGTAGATATTGTAAGTAGGAAGAGGGGTTGGGCTCAGACTTGGGACTTAGGACTTAGGAAGTGCAAAGGTGGAATAAGCACTAACTACAGAGCAATCAGGCCATATAGTCCTAAAATCAAAGTAAGCTAACCGATTTAAGGCAATAGCTGTTAGATCTGACAAGGATATATTAACAGACAAGACTGAGTTCGCTAAGGCTTTATCAAGGCCCTGTAGTTCTGGGTCTTTAATGTTATCCTGATTGATGTGTTAGAATGGCATTTACTCTAAACACTCTTAGTTCTTTCCTGTTTGTTCTGCTTGTTATGCTTGTTCTGGTCTGCCTAAGTGTATTAGTAGATCTTTAAGCTGCATTGGATTTAGATGTAGTATCCTGTGTCACTACTCCTTGTTGTCCAATAGATGTCTGGAATGGAGTCCTCTCTGCTCTTGGCGTCCGTCTAATACGCATATTGGCTGGATTTATGTGTTCATTGACTATCCTGCTGGCCGAAGACAATGAAATTAATTGGAAAGTTGCCCTTAGGATGCTCAAAAATTTCATTTGAGGTGTTTAAAGGAAGCGATATAATATAGTTCTCATGGGCATTTAAATGCCTATCATGGGGGAATGTGAGTCCGCTGTGAGGATCTAGGCATATGAGAAAGCCCATAACTTACTACATACTCCCATTATAGCATTCACTGCTCATGCTATGTTTGGTGATCCTGAAAATGTGTTGATGTGGATATGGATGACTACATTTCCATTCCTCTTAATCAGGACTTACTCATTCAGCTAAAGAATAAGTATGATACCTTCAGCAACTTACAACAAGACTGGCCATGAATGATGGTCCATTCTAAGATATTATCAGTCTCTTATTCGTCTTTTACTACTCTATATACCTTTAAAATAAATATACACCTAGAAATCATCTTTATGAGGTTATTAATATAGCATATAATAAAGACTCATAATTATAGTGAACCCACTGCAGATGTAATTCTGGAATACAATCTCCAGTTAGCAGCTGTTTCTGTGTCTCATTCCTACTTTTAACAACCGGTCAATTTTCATGGCGTTTCCAAAACACGCAAGGTTTACTGTTCGCTGAAGCCAGTGGTGGTGAACTTCAAACCTATATCGACCAGCATGTTGGTACGGCCAATCTGGAAATGCGCTTAAAAAGGTGCCATCAAGCTGTGGAAGCTGTTATTACATCTATCGAAATGTATCATCCGGTCAGATTTACGTCCGGAAAGCTATCTGCTGCACAATGACAGTCTTGATCTTTTTGCGTTTTCTCTGTCTCTGTTTCTGCCGTCAAGGATGAGAGGACAGGGAGCTGCGGACAAGTCGAACACAATTCACCATGTCAATCGGTTCATCAACGGAAATCTGCTGTTGCGATCAGGCATAGCTGTTTGGATTTTTTTCCGGACTGGACCACGCGGAGATGCCTTTTGTTTGGAAGGTCTGCGTATCGCGGATGCGCTCGACGCGGCAGATGAGGTTCTGGGATAAGCTGGCGGGGCCGCACAATAGCTACTGATGGAGCACAGGTGCTGGCCTGCTGTGGCGGTCGCGTAGGCGGCGTTGATGGCCAGGATGTTGCTAGCGTAGACCTAGTCATCTAGATCGCCCATGCGGATGGGAGGAACGACAGGACGGTAGCAGTCGGTGTCGATGGGCTCGACCGTAATTGATCTTTGAGTGAGGCCATGCTGGCAGCGATTTTGGTATCACAAAATGGAGATAAAGATACCGGCTCAGGACGTTATACCAAGTCGGACCGGAACAGATTATATTGTAATCATGTCCTTCCCTAGAATATTGTGATCAGCCGAAGGCTCCGAGGTACATATTGAACATGGCTTCTAGGATGACTTACCGGTTATATATGATCAATCCTCTTTACCGACGCTTGAAATGCACGCCTGACGTCCGTCTTCCTAAACCCAGGTGCGCGGCCAAGGATGACAAGCCCAGAGAGGAGTCCTGGAGCGATGAGCATAGGAACAATCGCGCAGTATGGAGAACTCACGTGAAAAGAAACCCTCGACATCCAAGACAAAGGACCGAGTGCGATCACTCTCCGCTGCTCTACTGGATATGCGCAGCGTAGGAAACAAACCTCCGTTTACGTCCACCCCATGCAGCCTGAGATACCCCTCCACATCACGACTATCAAACCACTCCCCTCCAAGCCCATAGACCTCCAGTGCTTCTTCACCCTTGGTTCCCAGCTCCTCCCACGGCAATATCCCTAAAACCCGCCGTGGCATCCGACTATTCACCGGGTATACCGCATTCCCCTCCTCATCAACATCCGGGAAATGCGTACCCGCGCCGCCAACGCTGTAAAAGGGTAGACCCGGTACCTCCAGAGGATCCGTACGTCCGCCCATCAAGAGCTGCCGGAAGCGTGGTTGGGTCTTTCCCCGATCCCTCACACAGGGGACGAGCCGGAACACGCGGTGAAACTCACGCGGATCCGACTGAAATTCCGTGAAGAGACGAAAGGCGTGCTCGAGGCAGTATCGCTGTAACCGACGAGCGAAGCGCACTTCTTGGAATGCGTAGGTGCACTGCCTGGTTGGTAGAGGAGGGGTAGGTGGGTATTGTCTGGGGGATTGGACTTGCGCGCCGAATACTGGCCCTTGATCGGATGAATCCGGAGATGGCTCGGCAGGGGCACCGGTCACGATGGGATCATAACCATCGGCTACAATTCCACGAAGCCGCTTCAGACGCGCATAGATATCAGGATGGGAGAGATGCAGCTGCGCCTCTGTGGCGACCTCGGACAGGCAGGTTACCTCTTCAAGGGCAGTGCGCATTCTCGCTTCAAGCTGTTCGGCTCTGGCAGTCGCATTTCGAAAAAAGGCCTCCTTCTTCAGTCGGTATGTGCGCTGGGCGCGACGGACCTGGGCGCGACGATCCTCGGAGAGGATGGCGTCCCTGCTGGCGTCCAGACGAGGGCGTCCTGCTCGCTTTGATCGGCGGGGCTCCATCTCTGGATTGACTCCGAGTTTGGGAAGAGACCGGTTTTGCCTGAGGACCGCGTTAATTTTTCCAGATTAAATTGCAATTGCAACGCTGTATCTACTATGCTGGATGGACTGTATCAGTTGTGAAGTTAAGTGCACATTGTGATCTGATCTTGTAATCAATTTAAACCTCGGTAGTTCAACACTCAACGTTTACTCAACGTTCATTGGTTGACCGCAATCCATCCATGGACACTGCTTTCAACAAGCCAGTCCCAACACCTGCGACTACAAATCAACCGCTGTAGGGCGATCGAACGGATAAGTCCCCACATAGTCCTCCGCGCGAACTCAGCGTAGATGGCATCTATGTCATCGAGCCTACGCTTGTCCTGCGCCGCCGGCAAGGCCGTGTGCAGATCATAGCCCCTTTGCTGCATGACTGTTGTCAGGCACGGCCCCATCCCCAAACAGCCGCGCAAGGCCTCATCCTTAAATCTATTAACTGCCCGCCAATCACCCGATCGACCCTGGAGCTTCACAGCAACCCCCTCAGAGCACTTTATCCAGTCGCACAACTCCTCCGTAAAATGCGCCCCATCTCCGCCCATACTTATAACTAGGCAGGCCCGTAAATCGAATCTCCATCGCATCACCAGGCGCTTTATGAAAGCACCCACTGCGCAGCGCTCTACCTCCGTCAAAGACCGCCCCTCATCGCCGTCCGCGGAATGAAAATACCCACAACCAATGACCCTAGCGTAAGCATTATGTCTTTCGTCGCAGATTTTACCGGCGCGTCTGTACCGCGCATGCAGGTAAATCTCCCGCGCGATCCCGCGAACGTGCATCTCCGAGCGGGAAGGTGGTCATAGACTTCGATGAGGATGACCTCTGTATCTGCTGCGCGCTTTGGGGGTTTGCTTCTGTCATTGTGAGGATTGAGCCGGTCTATACTATTATATTGATCTCCATTGCAAATACCAGGGTAGAAGTGTATTGCCCCGGTGCCCCGGTAACCTTGAGAAGGGAGAGTTTCATTGCGCTGTGCATGGAATAGGGAACTCCAGCTCGCCGATTATCTGCTTTCGTCCCCGTTCATGGCAACCACTGCTGGAGCACCCAGATCTCCGGCAGGTCCAAGTCAACGGCCTGACGGCATTCTTTTCAATGGCGATGGGCTATATAAACCGGTCCTGAGGGGCCTGCGGTGTCTCATTACTATCCGCCAGCCTAACAATCAATAATTGCAGAGAGCATAAGGAGACATTGGTTCTATCGAAAGAGACCAGGTACCATTGTGTTGGTCCATCTACACCCTCCGAATCTGACATGCTGAATCTCCCAAAAGGGGCCAACGGGAGTATCAACGGAAGAGCTTGGCGCGCATTAGAGTTAAACCTTCCCACTCGTGAAACCTCAGCCAAGAACTCTGTTGAGGTTACGTAAACCGCTTGACCCGCTGGTCTGTCAAATCAACGTACGCTGTAGTTCTCAAGCACGGTCGCGATCGCGTGCCGACTCCAAGAGTGAGCTTTGGGAGTGAGACCCGTGAACCGCGGAAGGTTCTCCCCCTCAGTAAATAGAAAGTTAAACGGCACATGGTTCAAGGGTTGAACGAATGTGTAAATTTCCACGACTTCAATCAGTGCGAGAGGCAAACCCCTGTTTTTAAATCTGGCTACCAGGCGATCGAGCTTCTTATATGACCCAGCCTCTATGGCTTTGTTCACCTGGAGC